CCCCATAGTGACACCGGATCAATAAGAGATGACTCTTCCTGGACCTCTAGGGAGAACAGTTTAGAACTGATAGAGCTATCCAATCCAGGTGATCTCGTGTTCGTATTTTAGCCAATCAGCGCTCAGAAAGGGTTGTCCGAATAGAAATCCATTTTGATGTCTTCAGTCAATTATATCTTTCGTTATTCTTTATGAAACTAGTTGAAATTTTGTAATTATGTTTGGTTATGAGAACTATAGCTCTGACAAAAATATGGAATCGAAATAAAGTATATCACAGGAGATATTCAGTTGTTTTAATCACAAAATGGATTTCTATTTGACAACTAGTGCCAGTACTTTTCCGCGTATCAAGATCATCTGGATATAAATAAAGTTTGTTTAGTTTAGGTTTCTTCCTATAGTAACACTGGATCAATAAGGGAAGACTCTTACTGAACCTCTAGGAAGAACAGTTTAGAACTGATAGAGCTATCCAATATAAATAAAGTTAGTTTAGTTTAGGTTTCTTCCTGTAGTAACACTGAATCAATAAGAGATGTCCCTTATTGGACCTCTAGGAAGAACAGTTTAGAATTGATAGAGCTATATCTAGTGTATAAATAAAGTTAGTTTAGTTTAGATTTCCTCCTGTAGTAACACTGGATCAATAAGAGAGGATTCTTACTGGACCTCTATGGATAACAATTTAGAACAGATAATTTCAAAGTGGACTTGCCAATTACACTCACCTGTAACCGGTGGGTTGTCTTGATGAATAACACGGGACTTGCTGTGCCTGTAAAGATGATTCAAGATCAGTACAATGTACATAGTATACCAAAACCAATGAGAAAATCGGCATAGCTCACCGATCTCTGGTCACGTCCCCTTTATAAACAACAGCACTGCCATCCTCGAACCCGACCGCCATCTGAGTGAGATTTTCATACACAGCCAAACACGATACCTACAAGAGAAAAATTAAGACAAACAAATCATGTGAACAAAAGTGCCAATGAATTCGAAGGTGCAAGCAGGTAGCCCAGTGGGTGATTCCAGCTATATAAACTAAATTTTGATCAAGGCAAGAAGAACGGAATCCAACATAACTGCTAGAAAGAGTGTCTTCATATGAGTAAAACTGCAAAGTTTGGTTGCTAAATGTTGTGAAATAAAGAAAATATAGCCCTATGAAGTTCGCAAATTTTTGTATATACAGTCGAACCCCTATTAAGCGGAGACCTTCGGGACCTCGTCTAAGTGTCCGCTTAAAAGGGGTGTCCGCTTAAAAGGGGTGTCCGCTTAAAAGGGGTGTCCGCTTAAAAGGGGTATGTAGAAAAACACAGCAGGAGGCAAAGGTGTGTAATTAGGTGTGTAATTTGAGTATCAAAACAGTAAAAGATATCTAGCAAATAATTAGTGTAAAATGAAAATTTCTTTGTACATAAAAGTTCATTAGAAAATGTTTTAAATGTATACGTCTCTCACAGTCATATAAAAAAGGAATCGATACAAGTTTGCTTTCGAGGCTCACGCAGACATTTACATAAAAATGGCGTTGGAAAGTTCTTCCAAATCTCGAAATTGTGCGAATTCTACCAGCCGCTCGACAACTTTAAGGGCTTCGGAGGAAGATTTAATGACTGGTTCGTTAAGAGACCAGTCAAATTCATTATCTTCGTTCAAGTCGTTGTCATCAGTGATCTGACACACATCTTACGGCTCCTCGGCTAACGGCTCACAGTCCTTCGCCCTCATTCGTCACTTCCTCAATAATCTTGGCTCTGATGTCTTCGCGCCAAGTTGATGTGTCATTGTCAATGTGCCATGTAAATTAATCTCAATTGTTATTTACTGTCGAATATTGAATACATTTTATCAGACAATCTGTCATCTGTCCGCTTAAGAGAGGTTGATCTGTCCATTGGGACTTCAAGTAAGGTGTTCGCGTCCGTTAAAGAGGGGTGTCCACTTAATAGGGGTTATGATAATAGTATTTTAGTAAAGAAAACGAATGGGACCTGAGATATGTGTCCGCTTGAGGTGTCCGCTTATAGGGGTTCGACTGTATTTATATTACGCGCGGTAAAAATAACCACTTTCGGCTCAAAAAACTTTCGGCGCAAATATATACAAAATTTGCGAACTTCACAGGGCTATATTTTCCACATTTTACAACAATTCGCAACCAAACATTGCAATTTTACTCATTTTAAGATGCTCTTTCCAACTATGGTGAGTATGGTAATGGTTTCGTTCTTGTCTCGATCAAAATTTCGCCTATAGCTGGAATGACCCATAGCTAGGCGTGCCAAATACTTGGCAACATCATTCATTGCATAGTTATATTGAAACAGTTCAAAAACTGTGCTAATTAATAATGGTAACAAAACTTGAATCTATGTTAGTTTAGTGCTGTGCGCCGGAGTTGCCGGAGCCGGAGTTCTGCCGGAGCTCCGGCGGTTTTTCTGACGCCGGAGCCGACTTTTGTATGCCGGAGCCCGGAGCCGGAGTTACGTTTTCCCAGCTCCGGCAAAATGACAAGAAAACAATATGAAATGAGACAAATGTCAAACGATTGTTAGTTACTGCAAACTGCCAATTGCTGTTCAATGAATTCATCATAGACTCAAACTGCCACAGCTCACAGGAACAGCGTCGAAAAGCTGTAATACGATCGCAACTTACAAACGTCATGCTTTCATGAAGCCATCTGACTTAGCGCTACATAGTCTGTGTATTCATGTCTTGTAGATAACGAAAAAGTACAAAACAAATAAATATCAACCTTTTGAAAATGATAGAGTACTTTGTTTGCGTGCGAACAATTGCGCTGTGGAGTCTGAGAGTGTTAGCGTCATGCCTCGCGTCATGCTTCGTGTCAAAGATTTTTCGAGGCTGGTTTCCATATATATATTTTCTGCGTGGTTAAGTGTTTTCACTGTTTTGTTTCCTGAGTTATGTTAACTGATAATTAGGATGCGCGAAAAAGGTTATTCATAATAATATTAATAAATGTTCTCTGATCGTAAAACATTTATTTAATATTTTATGATGTGGCCGGAGCCGAAGCTGGAGCTCAGAGCTGTAATTCGGCCGGAGCCGGAGATGAAAAACCGGAGTTTGCACAGCACTATGTTAGTTTGACTACATCCTTACAATTTTCCTTGCGAACAGGCCTTAAAATATCAGTCGGTCACGGACATTGTCCGACCCATTCGTTAAATTGTCCGACGTAGAAAGGAAACCACCGGACATTCTGTCCGACCTAAGTGAAACTGAGGTTTATTGTTTGTCCGACCCGACTCACCCGAGTGTATTGGTGCCCGACCGAACTGTAGCTTTGTCCAACGTAAATCAAAATGTACCCTATAGCCCAGGACAAGAAACTTGTGTGTTAAATGGAAAATCAGAGTACTATTGTATAAAAGGTCAACTGGAAATGTTGTTTTAACGTAGTCGAGCACGGGGCGGCGAGCGAAATGGTGAAGTGGAAAACGGGTCTTTTTGATACTGCTGTTCTGGAAAGCAAGTTAATTTTGGCTTGGAAATAAGTATGAAAGAAACAAATTATTCAATATTTTTACAACATTTACCGTTTATTCAATTGGGTCATTCAGACTTATTTCCGAGTCAAAAATGAACTGAAGGTCACCGGACATTTTGTCAGACGGGCCTGGAAAAGATATTTTAAGGCCTGTGCGAAAAACAAAACACGACTAAAAAATAGGAAAAGTTTTCGGGTTGTTTTTTTCATAGTCAGATGAACTCCCTGCTCGATGTCTACAACCATGACTGCTTTGTACTTACTGCAACAGGCCTGTTCCCAGGGATAGCTCTTGTGATCCTCATGCACATTGGATTTCCCATCTTGTCCGTCTAACGATTGGAAACAAAGTCACATTTAGCCATTAAATTTAAGTTGGAGTTTCGATACGACGCCTTATTGTGCACAGATAAAGTTAAAAATTTCACGCACTAAAAATTAGTATAGATAATCGCATGGGGCCAAGTAAAATTAAGGTTTAATTTCACGCGTGCGTGTTCTCAAACTTTGAAACCACAAGTGAAATTAAACCTTAATTTTACGAGGAACTGTGCGATTGCTTGTTAATCATAGAGGGCAAAATTTACTCGTAAGTAAATTGTGAACTTGTCAAGTTCTTGAACCTCGTATGTCTCTATGTCTTTGCCGATGTTCCTTAATGTTGTCCATTTCTTAAATACTCCAACCCATAAAATTGTACTTTTTCTACTATTCGGGTTTTCACTAGAAGTTTTTAATTCTTCAATAACATCATTATCCGCAACGACAAAGCGAGAAGCAATTGTTTGTATTGCTATTTAAAACAAGAAACTTCCCGCGTTTGCGTCTCGGCCAATCAGGTGCAAGTAATTTTGCCCTGAATTAGGAAAAAATGCCCGCATCATTAGCCAATCGTATTTGAGAAAGTTTGCCCTCTATATGATTAATGCATAAAGCAAGTAACAAACCTTGTCTAAATTCCATACTTTTATCAGCGGATTAATTCCCTCTTCGTCTTCCTAATAAAACAGATTTTTCACAAAAAATATCAAGGTTTTGGACATTTTGAAATCATGATTTACAAAATTGGTAATTCAATCATAAAATTGGTGGCGAAATCTAGCGAAATCTAGCGTATTCTTAGTCTTGCATGTTAGACTAAATTTTAATCTAAGTAAAGAGAAGGGAATCAAACACCACAGCTAAAAGAACATAATGAAATTAGTAAAATTGCAAAATTTGGTTGCAAAATGTTGTAAAGCTTGGAAAATATAGCCTTGCAAAGTTCGCAAATTTTGTATACGTTTGTATTACGTGCGAAACTTGTTACCATTTTCGGCTCAAAAATGGTAACAATTTCCGCACGTAATACAAACATATACAAAATATGCAAACTTCGCAAGGCTATATTTTCCAAGCTTTACAACATTTCGTAACCAAATTTTGCAATTTTACTAATTTTAATAAGTTCTTCACTGGAATTTACTTTTTATTGCCCAGATCTCTGAGGATGGTTCTGAATTAGAATTGAAACACTGCGCATCCTCTAAGACAAGCGTTAAATCGTCACGAAAATATTTCGTGCACTTAAATTGGATAAGACTCGCTACCAATCCCTGTTGACTCGATAGCTCAATGGCTTGCTTGTTGACTCGATAGCTCAAAGCTTGGAAAATATAGCCTTGCAAAGTTCGCAAATTTTGTATACGTTTGTATTACGTGCGAAACTTGTTACCATTTTCGGCTCAAAAATGGTAACAATTTCCGCACGTAATACAAACATATACAAAATATGCAAACTTCGCAAGGCTATATTTTCCAAGCTTTACAACATTTCGTAACCAAATTTTGCAATTTTACTAATTTTAATAAGTTCTTCACTGGAATTTACTTTTTATTGCCCAGATCTCTGAGGATGGTTCTGAATTAGAATTGAAACACTGCGCATCCTCTAAGACAAGCGTTAAATCGTCACGAAAATATTTCGTGCACTTAAATTGGATAAGACTCGCTACCAATCCCCGTTGACTCGATAGCTCAATGGGTAGAGCGGCGGTCTAGATATCCGAAGATGCGTGTTCAAATCCCGCTCGAGCCAACGAACTTTTCGTTGTTCGATTGCAGTGTCAGAATAATATGAAACTGGTTTTTCGTATCTCTGAGGATGGTTCTGAAATAGAATAAAAAATTAGTCTAACTTGCAAGTTGTCTATTCTGGATGCCATATATTCAATGACATCCAGTTCTACTTACCCCGATCGACACAAGAATGCTGTGTTGTCGTAATTGACAAAGAAACAGCACTCTGATTTCAAAAGCTTTAAAACTTGTCGATGTTAAACTTCGATCAAGAAAAAATATATTTCCTTCGATATCTAAGCAGGTGTCAAGGAATTTTTGCAATATTTATGTACAGTATAAGTGACACATTAAATGCAAATACATTTGGCAGTTCAATGGTTTAAAATCATGTTTGGCTTTTAAAAAGGATATCACCAAATATTAATTGTCCTCTTCCACTTGTTGTGGCAACAATGTTCACATCCTGTCAACAACATAATCATGAAACCTTAATTAATGCACTTGTCAATGGACAATTGCAGCTATAGACTAAATTTTGATCTAGGCAAGAAGAACAAAATCCATCAGCACAGCTAGAAAGAGCATATTGCTAAAATTAGTAAAATTGCAAAGTTTTGTTGCAAAATGTTGTAAAATGAGGAAAATATAGCCCTACGAAATTCGCAAATTTTGTATTAATTTGTATTACGTGCGGGAAAATGCACCACTTTCGGCCCAAATGTGGTGCATTTTTCCACACGTATTAATACAAATACAAAATTTGCAAATTTCGCAGGACTATATTTTCCGCATTTTACAACATTTCACGACCAAACTTTGTAATGTTATTAATTTTAACATGCTCTTTCTAGCTGTGGTGATGGATTTTGTTCTTCTTGCCTATCTGAGATCAAAATTTAGTGTATTGCTGGAATTGGCAATTGCAACCCCTACATATTCACCGCCACCACAGAGAAGCGTGGTGAAATGTAGCACATTTTGATCATCTTTTTACTGTTAGTTAACACACATAAAAATCTCGCATCTTGTAGCAAGTTTGCCAACAAGCCATCAACAAGTTGTCTTCGCATTGGTTGTCCCAAGTTGTCAACAAGTTTGGAACAAGCTGTTAACATCTTGTAACAACCGTGTTGATATTATTAGACTTGTTACAAGGTTGTTCCAACAAGTCCAATGCAGTCATGATATAACAATATTGTTACAACCTTGTGTCATCAACCTTGTGACATTGCTGTTATATCAGGACTATATCAACTTGTTAGAACAACCTTGTAGCAAGTCTGATAATGCCATCAAGCTTGTTACAAGTTGTTAACAGCTTGTTCCAAACTTGTTACAACAACTGGGAACAAGCAGTGCAAACACAACTTGTCTACGCTTGTGAACAGAATTGTAATATAACTTGTTTGCAGACTTGTAACAACTTGTGCATATTTATGTGAGTAGATGAAAACGATGCCGTTTCACCAGTTTTATTTGATAAATTTTATCTTTTTCTTTCCTATTTCTTTTCATTGCTGCACAGTGAGTCGGTGACAAAATAGTTCCAGGAATGCCTTGTGCCCAATCGCTCCATATAGTAGCAACATAGCACCTGGTACAAGGCAGGTTCCAGGATTGGTTGAGAATTTGTTTTCTCAGAGAAGTGCTAATAATTTGCAATTTTTTCACAACATTGCCTTGAATGGCAACATATAAAAAATGAAACAGCGACATTGGACACAAACTCTGTCTAAATTGTGACAGTGACTTGGCAAATCAGGAAATGGATTGAGGAAAACAATTCCGAAATTCCGAAAGTGATACAGCAATGTTTTCAAGCATGACTTGTTTTGAAAATCGGACAAGCAATATGCAATGGTTTCAGGGCTCAAAATATTGTTCATATGCCGGTCATGGTCAGTTCCAATTGCGACCGGTCAAATGCGATTTCTGATAAGTGAACTTCCACGATACCCGCCTGCAACGCATTGCGCACTCAATCGTCTCAATGTATTAAGCAACAATCAAATTTCAGCTTGCAGCACTCTTAACTTCAATTGTGACTGTAGATGCCGAGATGCACACAGTATAATTAACACAATTGAAGTTATAAATATAAACTTCGTCATATCTTAATTTTGTCTATTATAAATTATCTGACCAGCAGTTGGCATAAGAAATTCAACAACTTAAATTCGAATGAAAAGTTTAACATGAAGAAAATCCTTAAATAATATTTAAGCTCAAAATGTGGTCGGTCACTATGACCGGTGTCATACAAATTTGACCAGTCATTTTAAAAATTTGGCCAGTCATTGACCAGTGACCGGCCGTTATGTTGAGCCCTGTACCCTAGAAGATGCATACCAAGCCTAACAGAGCCTCATTGATCCCAGCCATTTTGTAATTTTTAATCCTAGGTTTATTAAATACATGATTGTGCAATTTTTGTTGGGCAACGCAGCACATGCAATGATAGTTAAACGAAGGCATCTACCAGAAAAGCAATACAAATATAAAAATAAACTTCACAAACAGATTTACATAAAGATAAACATGCCTAACGAACTACAAAGATCAAACCAAACCTGAAGCAGATTCCAAGGCTGCTTGGTTCCTGCATCTTTGGCGGCTTCTTTTTCAAAGAAATTAAACCGACGCCACTGAATAAGAAACAGAAACAACAGCTCAATACTTGGACAACAACATCAACGATTGTTTACGTTTATTTGTTCCAGAAGAACGCGAAAATAAACAAAAATAAATAAAGTTTTCTTTTCAATCTTACCTGAAGCATCGCCATTTTGTTTGTGGTCACCAGTCTTCTTCGACGTATGCACGGTCTAGCGGAATTTGATAATTTCCGAAAACTGTCAAAACTGTAGTTTTTTTTATAAAAAATCACTTTCGTTTCATTATAAAGCGATATATTTTCTTTAAAAACTTTCCAAAAGCACTTCTGGTATTACTTGAATCACTAATTGACCATTTTGTACAATTTTAATGTACTTCAAACCAATTTAATCATTTCAAAATTATTCATTTCAAAAACGGGGGCGGATCCGCGGCATGTATGCAGACAGGGACATCAAGATTTTGTAAATATTGTATAACTCTGTTTTATACGTCGAATTTCGGTCGCGTCGAATGCAATTCAAAAAATAGACGAATTAAGCTTGATCATCTCATTAAATTATCTACGGTCTTAATTGCATTCGACGCGAACCAAAATTCGACGTATAAAACAGGCGCCTAAAACAGGCCTAAGGTCGATGAATTCTTCGAGCAAAGAAAAACTAATTTAGTATTCATCTGACATCGTTATCGGAAAACATTGACAGTGAAAAAAAGTGATCAGAATGACGTTTTTCGGTAAGCACTTATCGGAGTATCATTATTTTGCATTTTATGAATTTTATGATACATTTCTTTTTAAAATGACCCAAATATTTCACATACAAAAAATCATATTTGAGCTCTCTCAATCATTTATAGGTGTCACCAAATTAAAGACATATAATGAAAGCATTAGCGAAGATTATTTTCTGATTCTGATTAACCGCATATACAGTCACTGTTGAATTTAGATACATTTTAATCCTAAGAGAATATTTTTGAACCAGGAACTGGTCCCCAATCGCTGCTAATCTTGTTGTCGTTTGAATCTTGGCAATGAATTTCCGAACCCCACGGTGAAAACCTCGCACCTGTTCACAAATTTCCAGTTTACTTTTTTTTATACATTACTCTGATGCTCTGATTCTCCATTTAACATACGATCGAGCCTCCTGGACTAGGGTACATTTTGATTTACGTTGGACAAAGTTACAGTTAGGTCGGACACCAATACACTCAGGTCGGACAAACAATAAACCTCAGTTTCACTTAGGTCGGACAGAATGTCCAGTGGTTTCCTCTCTACGTCGGACAATTTCACGAATGGGATCGCCAATGTATAATACGGACAATATCTTAAAGGACATTGGCAATAAAAATTGGTTTAGTTCATTTGAAAGAACTCTTAAAACTATATATTAAACTCTACTACAGACTGTTAAATATATTAAACTCTACTACAGACTCTTAAAACTATATATTAAACTCTACTACAGACTGTTTATATTTTCAAAATATTTCGACTGAACAAAGTGAGCTGTTCGCCATCTTGGATTATTGAGGATATGCATGTTACCAGGGGCGTAGGAAGCGGGGGGCACGGGGGGGCACGTGCCCCCCCAAATTTTTTTAAAGGACTAAAAGTGCCCTTTTTTGTGATAAAAAGTGCCCTTTTTGTGTTGAAAAGTGCCCTTTTTTGTGAGGAAAAGTGCCCCTTTTGTAGAAGCTAATGTCGCTGTAAATACTAAATTAAAACAATAGGTGCCGTTTTTGAGTGGAAATTTACAATTTTTTTTTAAAAATTAGGTCACAAATATAAATTTCGGTATGATACGACGGAAAATTTTCCTCAGGAGAAATTTCTCTCCCCCCCCCCCGTCGACAACATTTCCGGAAAAATTTTTTAGGTGCCCTTTCCGATAGTAATGTGCCCCTACAAGCCGGTGCCCCCCAAACTCCAGGTGCTTCCTACGCCCCTGCATGTTACGCCAAGAGAGGGGTCACGCTAATTTTTTATCTTGAGAGTAAGCGATAAATATGGGTCCAAAAATTCGTTTCTGGTTGCTGTATGAAATTTAGAAATGATTAAAAACATTTCAAACAATTTTGGATTGTTACTCGGTCATTTAAGAGTAGTTTAATATTGTTAACCCAACTCCTGATGTCATCAAAACCATAGTTAACGAGGTCAATAATTAGTCTAAGATGGCGGACAGCTCATTAATTTCGTTCTAAATATTTCGAGAACTAAGGCTAAGCAAGATATGACAAATCGGTAATAGAGTTTAATATGTAATTTTAAGAGTTCTTTTGAATGAGACAAACTAATTTGTTATTGCCAATGTCACTACTAAAACAACAAGGTCACACAATAAAAGCACTATTCTTTTTCAAATTTTTTATATTTCAGTTTTCCTTTTGTGTTTACCAAGACTGAGAATAGCACATTCCTAATCAAGGTTATTCTTATATTATAATCAAATATTCTATGAGTCCCACACAACCCAAATTCATGTCTTACACATTATGAAAAGCTTCAGAAAGCTTCGCCTTAAAGTTCAACTATACAAAAATCATGCTTTTACTGCAAAAGCATGACTTAATGTCTAAATGTATTTGTATGTTAACTGAAATCTTAAACGTATTTTAAGTCCAATGAAGAAAAACAACAACAACTCAAGGGGCTTCCACTCCAACAAGCACTTTTCCCTAAAAAATGGAAAGATGGAAATCAAATTCTATTACTTGACAAAAGCACAGAGGAAGTACATACAGAGATCTCACTTCAGGTTAATTTTGTGTAAGGGATTTTTTCAGTCCGCCATGTCACAGAATAAAGACATACAGAAGTGTAACTTCCATTACAAAACCGTAAGGCGCTTTTTTTACCGAAATAGCTGGCGGCCATGTTCTTAGCAAGTGCCCTAAAGAGAGGCATTCACCCCCCTGGAATATTAAATTTTCAATATGTTTTCAGGGGGGTGACTGCCTCTCTTTAGGGCACTTGCTAAGAACATGGCGGACTGAGAAACCCCTTACGCGAAATTAACCTGAAGTCAGATCTCTGTATGTACTTCCTCTGTGGCCATGTTCTTAGCAAGTGCCCTAAAGAGAGGCAGTCACCCCCCTGAAAACATATTGAAAATTTAATATTCCAGGGGGGTGAATGCCTCTCTTTAGGGCACTTGCGAAGAACATGGGCGCCAGCTATTTCGGTAAAAAAGCGCCTTACGGTTTTGTAATGGAAGTTACACTTCTGTATGTCTTTATTCTGTGACAAAAGCAAGGTCATTTAACTCAAAAGCAAGGTCAATTAAGTTGTGAGTGACAACCTTGTAGCAACTTGATAAAATAACAGCATTGTTCCAACTTGTTGACAAGCTTGCTACAAGCCTGTTGCGAACACATCTTGTTGACAAGTTGCGAGATATTTACATGTGTACTTGATTATTTTACTGTGTTTAATGCCTTACATTTCACTTGTCAAGGGGAGAGCGCTGCCGCTCATTGGGTTAAACATGAACAAATGCCAAGCAGAACATGTCAGCTTTTTGTCGTAAACATAAGCAAATAAAATCTCGAACATATACACACACGTAAAAACGCACAAGTTGTTACATGTCTGCAAACGAGTTGTTCCAAATCTATTCACAAGTTGTGTTCGCACTGCTTGTCCCTAGTTGTTGTAACAAGTTTGGAGCAAGCTGTTAACAACTTGAAACAAGCTTGATGGCGTTATCAGACTTGTTACAAGGCTGTTCTAACAAGTCTGATACAGTCATGATACAACAAGAATGTTACAAGGTTGACCATACAAGGTTGTAACAATATTGTTATATCATGACTGTATCAGACTTGTTGGAACAACCTTGCAACAAGTCTGATAAGATCAACAAGGTTGTTACAAGTTGTTAACAGCTTGTTCCAAACTTGTTGACAACTTGGGACAAGCAACTGGTGTTAACACAACTTGTTGGCAGACTTGCTACAAGATGCAAGTTTTTTAGTGTGTAAAGCTACGTTTACACGCTGCGATTATTCGGGCCGATTTCAGGTTTTGCCGAATGTTAACGATGAAAGTTGTCAGTTGACGATGTCGCAAGATGACGATGACAGCATATTTTTCAAATATCATTTAATTAAAGCTGAATCAGCCCGACAAATCGCAGCATGTAAACATACCTTAATTTAATACAGATACGCAAGTTTTCTATCACAAGTGTCCATGTGGCTAGTTATCTTTGTTACTCAACCATTAAAGCACAACTTTCCCTTGACGAGTAAATTTTTTATCATTATATGTAAAAAGCGCTTTATAAATTATTAAATTATTATTATTATTATATTGCATTGCATGGGGTGTATTGCAGTTCAATGTGCTAAACATGTCTCAAATGAAGAAAATTAATTATATACTTTGCCAATTTTTTCAATGCCAATTTCTTGAATGCTAGACTTAGAATTGTTTTATATTGATTCTGATTGGCCATACTTAACCCATTAAGTGCCAGCACTCTCCCCTTGAGGAGTAAAATCATCTGGCGTTAGACAGAGTAAAATAATAAAGTAGGGCGCAATGCGACTCAATGGGTTAACTAGACACATAGGCAGGTTAACCCATTAAGCGCCAGCGCTTTCCCCTCAATGGGTTCAACTCAGTAGATTCTGATTGGCTGAGTTCAAACATCAACAAAGTTCTGACCTTTCTGGCTAACTAAAACAAATCACATCATGGGTGGATTTTACTGGGGGGTTAGAGGGATTAACCCCCCCCCCCCCTCACTAGAATCTCTCTAACCCCTCTAATAAAGTGTTCAACCCCACGAAGCTCACTGAGTGGTGTCACTTGCACCCCACTAGAAATTTTTCTACCCCTTCTTTTAAATAAACTTCCCCCATGTAATGTAAAATGACTGGAAAATGGCAAACTTCGCAAGGCTATATTATCTGCATTTTACAACATTTCGCAACAAAACTTTGGAATATTACTAATTTTGTGATGCTCTTCGCTCTAATTTTGTGATGAAATTTTTGTCTAGACTCGTTTAGATCAAAATTTAGTCTATAATGCAAATGGTCCATTAGATTTCATATTAATCTGCAGTACATTGGAAACATTTTTGCACCGAAAAAGTTAGCAGTTTGAAGCAGAGAGAAGTAAAATTTACAATGAACATCGAGTGTCAA